GCCGACCCAACTACACCACCACGCGCATGCCTCGCGGCGGATATGCGCAGCAGCAAGAAGGTTTCGGTCATCCCTTGAGGGTGAGTCTAGCCCTGCTCGCCAGAAAGACCCCCCCCTTCACTACAACCCATGTCTAAGCAAAAGCTTGTCGAGGAGCGAGGGGAAGAAGGAAGAGTAGAAATACAATGGTATAAAAGAAGAAAAATACCCTGGTGGTTTGACTACCCCCTCCTGTGTGACCCTGGATGGTTGCAGTTGCACGAAAAAATACACTGATGAGTGTAGTTCTACTCTGCATAAGCTGCAAAAGTGTAGCACACGTCTCACCACGAAAAATGGGCAACTGTCGCCATAATAGAGAGGACGAAAACACACAATACACAACATACTCACATCGCGCCGTCCTCACGTTCCATCGTTTCCACGTTTAATTGTTCACGTATGGCCGTTACCCACGAGGTATTTCCCTGCATCTATTTACACAACAAGCGTTTATCTGTCAAGTTCCATTCACCACTATAGCCACCTACTGTACCCTAGGTTTAGTGTCCTAATATATACCATGGTATGTAAATATATATTTCTCTTCACTTCAAATATGGAAGACTACAAAATGACGTTGTGTTACAATGGAAAAATGACCCTGTGTCACCGCATTAAAATATCTCGAACGGATTGTCTCCATCGACGAGACCCAGAATAAGGAACTGAGGCTCGACCCGATATTGACGTTTCTTATTTCCGGGCCCATAGTGCCGTCTGTGCGGTATATGTAGGTATGTGTAGCTAATTAGATCACATCACAGGACAGATTTTACTGCGCACAGCGTACGTAAGCCACAACCGCGAAAGAAAGCGACTTGTCATACTTAGCTGTCATGTGCACATCCCCAACCGAAACAAAATCGGCAGAGCATGGCATTCGGGGAGGATTGCACTGAGATATGTGCGTGCAGCACCATCATCTTGATTTGCGTTCCTTTGAAAAGGCTCGCATCTATTTCTTTCGTTCTGCAAAGCGCAACAACTCGTTGTTTCAGAAAAAGAAAGGGCGGAGGATTTGATTTACCGGTGGGTTACACCGATAGATGAAGGAAAAACACGAAACATACACAAGAACGCAATCAATCGATCAATCAACTACAACGACCAACCAAGTCACCGACACAAATGGATCCAGATCGATGCATTGATTCGACTTCCAAGGTGGTGGGTTAACTCTAAAAGATAGTACAGGTCAGACATTGAGCGTTTCAAAGCAGTCGCCAGCATGTCACCACGGCCAGACATGTCCTCAGGCGCAACAACAGCAAAAAAAAATAACTCTGCAACATCAACGTCGGCGGGAGGTACACCACGAACCCAGGTCACCCACTGAAGCAGAATTCACGTGAAACAATAAAAACATATAGCAAGGGTTGGTTGAACCCATCCCATTGCAACCATGCGCAACAGTGAGATACAGAGAAGCACATTGCACATCCTTCCTTAAACCCACGTCTGCCTACACGTCTTTACTTCTTACAAAATGTTGTTTGCGCCTGGTAGCAGGACAAAAAGTCTCTTCCGGTTAGAGCTTCCCCTAAATGCCAATAATAAAGTCACACCTGTTCTCGTTTTCGACCACAACGCCCCCCACCCCTACCACGCAACGGAAGGCCCCCTATTTCTAGCCGCCCCTCCGCTTCCGCACCCACTCTGGAGGGAATGCACGCCTGCTACAACCAAAGCGAACCCCAAAATTTTTTACAAGAACAAATCACACGCCGTTGCCATCGGCAACACATGTCAGCACCCCCGCCCCCTCCAACGTAAGATGTCCAATGCTGTTGTGCTGTTTGCGCATCATTATTTCGCCATTGACGGCCAGAACTCGAACGTGCAATGCTTGCGAGGATTGGAGTCACGTCTACCGACCAAGACGCCAGAAAAGAGCCGCCGCATATGGCTACTCAAGGCACCTATCTTGTCTCTGCGAAAGCACGTCCTCTTGCTTGAACAAGATACCATTTCGCCACGCTGGCGTGTGGAAAACATGGCTTGCGTCCATGCGTCGCCCACTATTACCCTTGTAGGGAGAGCTCACGACCACCTCATTGCCAGTCGTTGAACGCGTGCAGGAACATGCCAATGGCATACCTCCGGGTTTGCTGTCCATCTCTTCCCGGAAAGCAACACCACCCAAACCGAAATCATGCACGCTGCAGCAAACAAACGCATGCCGCCTGGCCTCTAACTTGTCTCCCCGGTTTCGGTTTTTGCTGAACTTGCAAGACCTCCCTCTTTCCTCGAGAACCGGTCGCTCAACCCAAGCCGCCGTCTACCCCTCTCTCTGGCGCCTTCTACTGGCTGCTTCAAAACCTCAAACCCCAATCAATCACCCGGTTGTTGGACTTTCGCCCCCCACGAGCACTCTACGGCTACTCCCCCCCCCATGCTTCGGCACCAACGACGACAGCTTCGTTCTGGCCTTCTCGAAAACGGCGTAGCTGATCGCGATGGCGGGCAGAGCCTTCAAGAAGTTGGGTCCCAAGCCTCGGTAGAGCCCCTGGACTCCCTGCATTGGTGGTCAAAGGGTGACGGTTAGGGGTGCCGTAGCGGGGTGGGGTGGGTGGGAGGGTACCTCGAGGGGGGGTGAGTAAAGCGTGTCCACGAGAGAGGAGGGGTCCCAAGCATAACGAGGTAAGAGAGGTACGCTCTGGCTGGGCGGTCAGGTGAACAAAGAGGTTTTCGCAACTTAACTCTTTGTGACGAACAAGATCATTTATCTGCGCCACGATCTACACTCCTGTTGTATGGGCGGGGGGTGGCGGAGGCGGGGACGGGGGCCACGGTATCCTTCACCGTTCATAACAGTCCAGAAGACGATGGCAAACTCAAACCACGCACGAAGCTCTCAACTGCTCAGGATAACCATACGCGAGCGTGTTCTACTACTTCACAGGCCACGCGTACGGGAGCACCAGCTTTCCGGGGTATCAAGGAACAACTGGGGCCGACAACCACCCAAGTCGAGTCCAACTGCACAGGTCAAGTGGGCATGAAGAAAAACATCGGTCTGGGTGAGAAACACAAGGGCAGCCATGTCATATGACATTAGACCCCAAGAGGGGGAAGCGGCCAACGAAGACGACAAGTTTGCGGTGACTAACACCGAAAGGGCAAAGCAAATTCGAAGCACGTCAAGATGCCCCAACGGTCAAGCAGTGCATTGTCTGTACGAGCAATTCTTGGGAAACATGAGGGAACGGACATGATCCACTGGGGGCCGCTCTTTAGTGCCGGGGTGTGTCCCGAGACTTTACCGGCACTATACCAGCACCGGCACGATTCAAAGTGCAGAACGACTTGGTGTTTCAGTGTGCGAACCGAACACACCGGCAATATTCAACCGGCACTAAAGAGGGCCCCCCACTGTAGATGTAAAACGGGCGTCGCACCGCACCGTACCTCTGCTGTTATACCGTAGCGGAATATGTTGGTGGCACACGGTATTGGACTACCGCGAACTGCATGACCACATACCGATACCGCACCACAACGCACTGGTCACCACACAACACGGCATCGCACCACCCTCGCGGGTTCATCCACTTACTCCGCAACGTCAACGTACCTCGTGCTTCAATGTTCTTCGGAAGCAGTCCGCAGTGCTTGTGTAGGTGTGCGGGATCCCCGGCATCCCCTGCGCGAACACCACGGCATGTAACGTGGTCATACGGGTGAGGGGCATGTGACGCTGCATCAACACAAACATGGGACTGGTAAGACCAAGATAACAACATGCCCGCAACGACGTGGGGGCTAAACAAACACAATACACATGAAGAAGATGAAACGGGAATAACTCAGCATGTCGGGATCGACAACAGTGTGGGCGGTATTGCGTGTGGGGACTCATTCAACTGCTTCAGATCGGCAAACCATTCCCCCCGATTCTGCATGCCACGTTAATCCGAGCCAAAAAACAACGCTGTACAGTAGCTATTCACGGAAGGTAAGGATTTGTCTCCGAGGATGGACGCCGGGGCAAACTGCAAAAAAACAAAAAACAAGAAACAAATGTAAGAGAGGAGGAAGAAGGGACGAAGTTGCGCCAGGCTCTGCGTCACTGCCATATGCTCAAACGGTGCAGCGCACAAGAATCTCATCTCCGATGAACGACCGGACCGTGCCAAAAAACAACCAGGATGATGAGGGCTTCAAACCGAAACAACCGTATTGCCGTAATTGTTCGTTATTCAGCACATGGGCACGGTCGCGACAGCGCACACGGCAACGAAACTGTCCACCCTCGCACGACGGAACGAATGCACAAGCAAGCATGTACAGGCAAAACGACAACGACCGCAACGACCACAGCTCCAAACAACAATAGCAACAACAACGACAAACAACAACAACAACAACCACAACAAGCAATGCCAGCAGCAGTGACCCTGCACCACGAAACACACACGAGCAACAAAGGCAAACTGCCGCGCTATCGCCCTGCTGTCCATCGCACCTGTGCCTGCAGCTTTGTCCTTACAAGCTGCAAGGGGTAGGCCACGAGCTGACCGCACGTCGACGACAACGCGCCGAAACCCAACAACGTCATAACGTCAGGACCCTCCTACGAAAGCAGAAACAAAAAGACACGAACACAAAAATAACGGTGTGGGTGATGGGGTTAGGGTTAGGGTTAGGTGGGAATCATAATCATTCTTGGCTGCTCGGCTGCTGTGGAGAGAGATAAAAAGAGAGAGAGAGAAGGAACACGGGCGACGAAGATGGCCCTTGTGAGCCGTGGCTACCGCGATAGGCGATAGCAGCACCACCGGCCTTCGCTTCAAGGTCGGGAGGAACACACAACTCACAGCCACCAGTGACAAGGCTCATATGCATACTGCATGCACAAAGTTATGTAGGACTCGACCATACATGACAAAGCAATCCACAGTACCCCCGTACAACAACACTGTCAGCGTGTCTCGCTCTACTACCTCCTCCCTGCATGCGCGAAATCGTCATCGTGCTGAAGGCAAGCACACAGCTCAAGAAAGAAGCCAGCCATCACCTCACCTTAGCGCCCGGATGGGCCGCCATCCATCTGGCCTTGAGGGTGTAGAACATCGCCAGATCGGTCCCGGAGTAGGGGACGATGCCCATGAGGCTCGCCGGCAGTCCGCGGAAAAGCCCTCTCATGCCGTTCTCTCTAAAAGAACCAGGGGGCAGGGAAGGAGGTGGAGGTTGAAATTTGGCCAGTCTGTCGTTTGGTGATCGATCACGCATCCATCGATACCACGAGGGGTACTACAAGATCCGACATCCCTGCCAAACCGTGGGGGTTGAAAGAGTAAACGTACTGAAACGCGATCGGGATGGGGGGCGGGGTGGGGGTGGGGGAGATGCAACCGCGAGAGCTTGGTGAAACGTGTTGCAAATGGTCCGCGTGGTACATAGGAAAGGAACGGAAGGGGGTGGGATTTTCCAAATCGACGTCAAGACCCAGCGGAGAACCTTTTATTTTATCGCGCTTTTCTCTCCGAATGGCAACCCGACCTGCAAGGGACGCAGGAAACGGACCCGAGCAGGAGGAAACAGATGACAAAGAGCGCCATGCAGTGTGCTCGAAACCCGACCCACTACACCCGGTGACCATACCCGGTGATGGTGGTACCTTGGTAGATTCATGACGTCCTTCGTCTCGTGTCTGTTCCCACGTCACGTCTATCCACTATTGGCAACTCTGCCACGCAAGACTTAGGTAAAAAAAAACCAAGACTTCTCGAAACAGCAGTGTTGCTACCTGTTACAATGAGCCGTGAGGGCCTTAGGGATGACTCACCTTACGATGCGCGTGAGGCAGTCGCCTATCCCCTTGAATTCGCCCTTCTCACCCACAGCTAACCTCGTCTTGGCTATCTCTAAGGGATAGATGACAAGCTGCGCCAGCGATCCGGCCATCGACCCAGCCAAAAACCTAACGCGGCGAGGGCCACCCACGCGGATCGATTAGGGGGGGGGGGGATGTACTCATAGTCGTGCATGCCGCAGTCGTTAGACCATTGACGTCGCATCCCTACAAAGCCGGGACGGAGCACGCCGGGTTCTCACCGGACCAGGCTCTCACATCACCAAGCGCGAAGCGCCGTGAGATATTCGGCGAGTCGCATGAAGGGTGCGCTGCATCCTGCTAAGG